GACGTAGATTGAGTGAAATCAGCTAATTTGTGTCTATATAATACATTTAAGACCAGGATCAATTTTTCTTATTCGTATGTTTGTTGGATAGAGAAAAATCTAATTTCTGCTTTGCAATTATTTTTCAATGAAATACGATCTCTCAAAATTCCTGTCAGTTTATTTATCCTAGTTTGAGGATGTTTATATTCTTGTTATGGAATAAAAATTGGGTATGTAAACAAGGACTGTTGAAACATTCCAGCAAACCAAAGCTTCATGTTTTGTCAAGCAAAATCTAGTGTTATTCACAGCTTTTTTAAACACAACATCGAATAAAACATTTGCAAAGTACAACTTGGAGCTGGAAATACTTTTTAAGATGAAAGGCTGGTAAAAATAATGGTGCTTGGCTCATCTATGAACACAGACAAAGGATTAGTTGTTATTTCTGACAAAGTGCATTTAGCACTGAAGTTTAATCTTTCATGTTTATGAAATGTACGATTGCTTTATACTATTGATTGCCGTTTACTTTTAGCAATTTTGTTGAGATATGGCTGTTCAAAATATTATATTCTGGTGTTAAATACATAAAAGCTGAAATAACTTGATGATATTTTTGTAAGTCAATTTCCTGGCTATTTATCCGTTAAGTTCATTATCAACTGAAATGAATAATTTGAACATTTACTCAGAAGCCATTTCAACTCTGATCAAAGGGCTTCCTCACAAGATACAACCAGTATTGTACTTTGAGTATAGCATTCCTTTGCGTATATATACATGAGAGTAAGTTAGATTGAACGCTATGAAAATTGCTCTGAAATAACAGCCATTTATTAATGAAAAGACACACAGAAATTGTAAAGTAACATCCCAAAGCGCTGTTTTTTGGGGAATGCAGTGGAGAGGAAATTAATTTCTCTATATCTAACCACAACATTTGGCTGTTGAGAGACTGATTAAACATAATCCTTTTCAAAAGCGTTGAAGATTTTGTGAAACCTGGAGCTGTGCAGTTCCAGATACATTGTCTTTATTTTGATTTACCTTGGGCTGAAGTTAAAAAAAACTTACTTGCCAAACCAGCTGTTTAGGTATCATTTCATCTCCTACCTCAACAATAGCAACAAAAGGTTTTGGAACTAAAGTGCCCTACTTCATTATCTTTCATGCATTTCAGAGACGTGTGTGAAAACTTGTTAGCTTTGTTTTGCACAGGTGCTAATTAAGGAGAACTTTAGAAAGCAGACTCTTTCCTGTTGCAAGTGCCAAGAAATGCAGTAAGGGGACAGCTGTAGATTGATTATATATTAGAGTTCTGAACTGGTGACATAACAGCAAAAGGTACCTTTCTAGGAAGATTTGGAAAATAATGAAGGAGCACGCATATTTCACTGGTAGAGTATAAATTTGGCTTGTAAAATGCTCCAGGCAAGATGTCTGGCATCAACATTGTCACCAAATCTAGATTAAGGAGGATGCTAAACTTCCTGTCCCACAAACTGTAATCAGCATGGTCAGCGATGAGATTGTTGTGAGTTGTAGTTCAGCAGGGTTGGTAGATTCACCACCGTTGTCCTAGATACAGGTAGTCCTTGACTTACAAACCCAGTGGAGCCCAAAATTTCTGTTGCCAGATGTGACAGTTGTTAAATGAGTCTTGCTCCATTTTATGACCTTCCTTGCCATAGTTGTTAAGTGAATCACTGCAGTTGCTAAGTTAGTAACAAGGTTGTTAAGTGAATCTGGCTTCCATGTTGATTTTGTTTGTCAGAAGGTCACAAAAGGGGAATCACATAACCACGGGACATTGCAGCTATCATAAATATGAATCAGTTGCCAGGTGTCTACATTTTGATCATGTGACCAGAGGGATATTGCCACGGTCATAAGTGAATAATACACATAAGTCACTTTTTTCGATGCTGTTGTAACTTTGGTCACTAAGTAAACTGTTGTAAGTCAAGGACTGCTTTAACATTTATCCAGATGTTCCCACTCAGTTTAAGATAGTCAACTAGGTTTTCTTAATATTTCACTAGTTTTAGGGACAAGCATGTGTAACCTTTTTCGAAGCACCTTTGGGACAACTATGACCTGGATGACTCCATAGATATTTCTTCATAGACATTTCTCATCCCATTTCACCTCTTCTATGCTAATTTAAATTCCTTCTACACTGTTGCATCACCCCTTCTAAACTCCATCCTTTCCTTGTTGCATAGTTCTTACTTCCTGCTCCAAGCTACTTTCAACACTTCAGGGTTACCCTTGAGGCATCATTGCTGCTGCCAGTATCAAGTGCCAACCACTGTAAAAGGGCAGCTTCGTTAGTTTTGTAGTCAGAGTAAAATGGAGTAAAACCTTAGTTAGGCTTGTGTATTTTTTTTCAACTTTATCGATTCTTGCGCCTTTCTCTGGAATGTTTATGTAGAAAAGCAATTTGGAGGTGGTTTTCTTCATAATCCACTCACAATTATTCCCTATG